GACAGGGCTTGTGATTCTGCTAATGGGGCCAATTTTTTGCGATCGCAACTTGATTAAAAACCTGGAATTTTGTTTAGAGGGTGGCAAGTCTGAAGTCCCGAAAGGGCTAATTCTCGCATCACTTAAGAAATTATCCCAAAAATTTTTGATTTTAAGGTGTGCAATGCGTTTGCAGTGATCGCCGATACACTGAAAAGGAACGGATCAGTGCTAATGCCAATCTGTCCAACTGGTATCGTCTACGATCTTCTTGAAGTAATTTCGGCCCAACTTGATCAGGTGCTCGAATTTTCTTGAAAAGCGTGATTGGGGAAAAAAATTTTTTTTCTTAAATTTTATGTATGTATATTTTAGCCCTAACGGGGATGATGTAGTTGTTGGGTTTGCTAGCTAGACGTTTGCTCGACTGCGCAATAATTCGGGGTAGTAGCAGGGTCCACGTTCCTCGTGAGTCGTCCGGGTCACCTCCACAATACCGCAACCCCACACTTGAACGACACTACTTTACAATACTGACACGGCGGCCTTATATAGGCAGCTTTCTTGCCATTACACGACCTAATCTAGGAGGGAGTCATGATGCAGCATAGTGATTCGTAATGCTCTTTTACTGGAAATCATGGGGATTATTAACTGTGATTTTTTTCAGCATGATGTCTCAGTGGATGTTCCCGTGTATTTTATTTCTCCAGTAGCCGAGAGCACATTAGCATATTCAAATATCTATGCGGAATGGCTGTCAGAGAAGAAGCAAAACATGGTAAACATACCGGAAGAACCGTTCAAACACGGTTTGGTAGGTTTTTAACATATTAGTAAATTTTTTGTCTTCATCCCATGTGTGAACCAGTCGAGTGGTACTTCGTATAAAAGAGCCAATTTGAAGGGATTCGGAGAGGTTGGATACATGTGTAAACGGATGATTCTGCCCGCTTCAAACCTCAGCTTTCTTAATAATGTACGTTGCAGGATTATTAGTTTGGCCCATTTGGGTCGAAGAGTACTTTCATTACAATTTCATTCCAGCTACAGTTGCATTGTTTTATGTATGTTTCCTCTCCTCCTCCCCTCCTTTCCTTCTTCAACTGCTATATCATTTTTACTCGGCACATTAAATATCACGGCGGGAGGAACTCGAGTCAAGAGACGGAACCGCGAAGGGCATCTGGGCAGAGATGGAACCGAAGGGCAACTGAGCAGAGACGGAACTGAAGGGCAG